AGAGTGGTGCAGCCCTGGCATACCAAGAGCTTTATCATTTATCACTGTAACTGGCATCAGAATATTCCCAGAGAACACGTCACCAAGTTAAAAAAAGGACAACATGCAGCGGAGAAAGGGTAAAGAGAATCTTTTGCAACAAAAAAGGACACTTGAGAGATACACCTGTACATGGTGCCTCTTTGACTGCCTTTGTGCTAAAGCAGTAGGTATTTTAATAGAAGCTGAGATTCTCAGGAGTGAAGAATGCTATGTTTATGCAAGGAGACAGTAGAGCTTGTCTACCTATGAGGTTGCACTTTGACCTCTCAGAAACTGCATTAAGGTGTGCCTTAAAGAGAAAAGAGCACAGGAGTATCCTGCATATTTTCTCTTATGAATCAACTGTACAAAGGTCCACTCCTCACACCTATTCTACAGGCTGGAAAAATTGATCTAGGTGACCTCTCACCCAAAGATTATGCAGGCTGGAGATTTGAACATAGCAAACAGCAAATCATTTTATTGTTCTGCCTAGTAAAGGCTTAACTGCCAGTAAGATGATTTTTTTTCCCCCAGGGGAAAGCGCGAACACAGTCCCCCACTACCACAAATTATGCAGTCGAGTTTCCCGCATTTGGGGAAATCAGCACACCCGCAGTGCAATGGATGAACCTCACCCTGGGAAAACCATCTTTGTGATCATGGTATCTCCCCTGCCAGGTAAGTATGATAGGTTAATTCACTATCCTACTGCATTTAGGAGAGTGTGTTTCCTAGTAGACAGTGCACAGAAGCAGGAGCCAATAACTTCTGGCTTTGGTGCTGATTCCCCCCTGTAGTTTTGAGCAACTCACTTAACTTTTCTGCCTCAGTTTCCCCCTCTGTACAATAATGATAATAATACTCACCAAGTTCACGGAGGTGGTGGTGGTGGTAGGATTAGCTAGTTAACATTTTTAAAGGACTTTCAAAATATGCAATATAACGGTGCATATATTCCGCTTTTCACCCATCAGTCTTAAATTGCTTTATAAAAATGTGTGTATTTTACATTGGGGATGCAGAGACACAAGCAGATTAAACAACTTGCCTGGGGCCAGAAAGCAAATCAGTGGTAGGGTCAGGAAGAGAATCGGGGTCCAAAATAGTTAAGAGACTGTAAAAAAGAGTAAAGATGATAAATGGCAATGTATCAGTTTGGGGGAAAGAGAGCATAGGGATCTGTGGTCTTTATTTACCAGTCATGATCTGCTGGAGACGATAAACATCACAGTAATGATGTTTCCAAATGATATTCTTTGACTTAGTCTCCCTTTACATCACGCCACCTGCCCTCTCCACACTACCAATGACACCAGCCTCAGTACTCCTGTTGTGTCCTTCTCTCACAGACAGCCGCATCTCTGAGGCCTCTTCCATGCTACCCTTATGCTCAGCATGCCCTTCCATTCCCTGTTCCAGCACTGCCAATGCTTGTGAGTTCATTGCAATATTTGGTGGTTTTTCTAAAGCCCCAGCCCTTGGATTCATGGGATTACCAGGGAATCTCAGCTTTCATTTTTTAAAAAGTAAGTTTCCACGCCTTATAACTGTGGAGAAAAGCCTGAAAGCATGAACCCTAAAGGCTCAGAAGGCATTTTCAAAAATCTCATGATTTTAAAGTCATGACAGAACAAGAAGTAATAGTCTCAAGTTACAGCGGGAGAGGTTTAGGTTGGATATTAGGAAAAACTTTTTCACTAGGAGGGTGGTGAAGCACTGGAATGGGTTACCTAAGGAGGTGGTGGAATCTCCTTCCTTAGAGGTTTTTAAGGTCAGGCTTGACAAAGCCTTGGCTGGGATGATTTAGTTGGGGATTGGTCCTGCTTTGAGCAGGGGGTTGGACTAGATGACCTCCTGAGGTCCCTTCCAACCCTGATATTCTATGATTCTATGATTTTGGGGGCCCGTCTTGTGGTGTTTGAAAATATGGGGTTGGCAATGGTGCTGGGCCCTAGAGCCTTGATCTTGCAGCAGCATCTGTGAAGGTGCAATTGTAGGGTCAGCGCCTGAGCTGCCCCCTCACCACATCCAAACCATTCTAAAAAGGCACTTCTGCCATCTCACCTACTAGCAGTGAGGGGGAAGAAAAGTAAACATAAAAAGCTCAACCCTTGAAGAGAATTGTCCACACATGGACACACCTTGCTATATAACCACACAAAAATTGTACTGTCACTCTTGTCCTTTTCAGTTTATTATTCTCCTCAGTCTCACTAGTTTTCCAAATGCTTACAACATTTTAACCTTTGATTGCAATTCCCCCGCACTTCTCTCTCCAGTTCTTTGTTTAATATGGATGGTGCTTTTTATCATCACAAAAGACACGATAAAAATATCTTTTTCCTATCTTATATGACAATCTGAAGTAGGCTTGGCATCAAGGCTATGAAGTTAACCCCGAGGTATCTCATTTTATGGCAGCTGTTTGAAATTTGACTCATGGAACCTGAAGATCAGTCACTCTCTGGCCGAGAGAGCCTTGACTTTATAGTATTTGTAAACCTTTAATGTCACAAATACACACCATTGGAAACAAAATGTTCTTACTCTTTGAGAAGTGATTGTTACCAGAATGAGGAGAAAGCACCTCAGAATGCCAGAGGTCGAGCTAGGAGGAAAGACACATTACAAAAATAAAGTAAAAAACATTGTCATGTTTTATTTTTGGATAATTAAAATAAAACATTAAGAACAACAAAATTGATATATTCTACCACTTTCATGATCATTTTGGCTCTGATTCAGGAAAGCATTCCTATTCAGGAAAATACTTAAACACATGCTTAAAATTACGCAAGTCCTGTTCTGACCTAATTAGGGTTATACATAAGCATATGCATAAATGCTTTTCTGAATTGGGGCCTTGGGCCCAGATCCTCAACGGTATTTAGGTTCCTAACTTCAACTGATTTCAGTGGAAATCTGTCTTCTTAGCTGACAGCGCAAAAGTCCACTTAATCCACTTGCTAATCAATACCTAAACTGTAAATTTCATTGCTCAAATATGCAATGTAGTTGTAGTTGTGTCAGTCCTACCTTGAATGGTCCCTTAGAGTATATGCTAACTACTGATGCTCAAGAGTCTGTTCCACCTTGCATTTAGCTGTGACGCTGGAGTACCTTTCCCAAACCTAAAGAAGAGCTCCGTGTGGATCGAAAGCTTGTCTCTCTCACAAACAGAAGTTGGTCCAATAAAAGATATTAGCTTATCCACTTCGTCTTTCTATTGCTCAAATATGACACATGAATAATAGTAGAAGTATTAAAAATCTACTCTAAAAGCATAATAGCTAAAGAGACTCTCATGGTTAAACTAAGCTCACATTGATTTTAAAATATAAATCTATTTTAATGAGCATTTCAGATATGTGATTGTGACAAATGCTTGGTTGACAGTGATGGAAAATGAAGCCTTCTCTCCACAGAATAGGTTAATCAGAGGCAGTATCAGAAGAGGCTTCTTGCTTTGCCCAGATGACACACCTTTAACTGTGTGTGGGAAGATCCAAGTAATTCAGTCTCCATGCCTGTTCCCAACACTTGATTTGCGTTCTAAATCCCCATATATACTAGGAAATTGATCAGTTATTAGCAACAGGTCCCAGTGAAGCAATGTTGAAAGCCATTTAATTTAATGTATGGAACAAAACAATTTTCAACCTCATTAGAGAAAAAGCATGACTTTTGAAAATGATTTTGTCCCATTTGCACTAGCAATTAAACTGTTTCCAACCCCAATTCATGAGAAGACTTGTTGGCTCTAAATAGTCTATTTTCCCCATGTGGGGTCCCATGAAGTCACAGCCAGCCATTACAAAACACTAGCAAATGCCATTTTATGTGGATAGGTATTAGATTACAACTATGGGAGTAACTATGCTAATTGCTGTGGTTAAGTATCTATGGCCTTGTCTACACTTGGAAAATACATCATGTTAGAAAACATGTTAAATAACAAGATATTAAACATGCTTTGGTACATAGCATGGACAAGTACAACCGTGTTTAAAAGGTGTAAGCTGGTCATGATTAACCTTAGAGGGAGAATCTAGAAGCTAAGTCATATCTGATATCATGTATTTAAAACAGACACATTTTCCTAATGTACATATGGCCAAAGCATCAATGCCCAGTGTGAACTAGAGAAGCCAGAACACACTCAAC